TCTTTATTTAGCAATTTGGTTGCTAGATGTTTAATCTTTGCTTTGTACTTGACTGGAGAGAAGCCTGGACACTTCAGTTATATAAACAACATTTAACTTTTCTGTCTTATTTTAATTTAATGTGATTTTTGCTTGTTTGTATGGTCTATAAGCACAGAGAACATGTGTTGATACTTGTCTGCTCTGATTAATTTCTGTTTATGTAGCCATTACTGACTTGAATAAATTATTTATTCTTATTCCAGCTCAACAACACATGCATGGGAAAAAGCAAGCTGCCTGTATTGTCTCAACCCTGATGCGAAAGGTGTACTTTACGCCAAAGTATTGACTGTCCCCCGAGCATAGGGAAGGAGGAGGCAGGTCTGACGCTGTGCTCAGGGAAGTAATAGAAGAGGCCCCAATAGCCAGAGCTGAAGAGGTGCAAGAACAAGAACTGGGAGGTGCACTCGTGGCCCCCAATACCAGGAAGAAGCCCAAGAAGTTCTCTAGGTTCCTCCAAGGAATCTGGCCCTTTGCATCAAGGAAGGAAAGGCCAAAAGAAGGCCGGAACCATAAGCCTCTTTGGAAGTTTGGCCGGCGTGAAGGAAGCTCAACAGATCAGGCACAACTAACTGCCTCAGAGAATGGAAAAAGATCCAGACATTCCTCTTTCTTTGCACGCCACAGGAGCATCTGCCTCAGCTGTTGTAGGGTTTAAAAGAAGGAGTTGAACATGCATGCATTTGCTGTACACGAGAGAAATGCATGTTTTGTGTAATATAATGGTATATTATAAAAAAAAAATATGATGTGCTTTCAGTAGTTAAACACAATTTGACAATTATAATAATTATTGTATTCCCAATAGAATATTGATTGCTCATTCATATGCTCTAAGATGCAGTGATACACTGATTCACAAAGTTGGCTCAAATTTAATGTCTTTCAATGCCCACCAGTTGGCTATAATTAATTGTGCAATTTTTGTCAGTTGTGCAAACAAATAGATAGTTTTTCATTAGATGTTTGTCTGGTGATTGTAAATCAATAAGACAATAGTAGAAGTAGGTAAGTGCTTGCAGGAGATTTAGCATTCTTTTGTAGATATTAGGACCTGAGGGCATTTCTACAGTATTGAATATAATACCCTTAGGACAGAACACGACAGATTGTGTGCCCACTTGCGGTGCCTTACATGAAAACTGCCCAGTAAACTTTACAGTACAACCATTGCATAATTACCATGTCTTTCATCGAAGGCACTTGTACATTGGTGACTTTTTAAATGTGATTTGTTGTAATTAAGAGATTCAATTGTCTGTCCTGTACATGTATTAATGTTATGATTTTGTGTAGAAAACAGAGCTCGTATCTCCACCTCATAATGAGATTTCACGTGATCATGTTTCATTATTTTTGTCTCGTAAACTGAGAGTTCAAAGTGCCGAGCCCATTGTCTTTCTGGGTTTAGTTTTAGCTAGGACCATGTAGATCAAGAGTCCTTGCCCAACTCATAATATATTTTCATATAATATGTAACAGGTAACAATCAGAAGGTCCTTTGAGTCGCGCACTGCTGCATCCTTTGGAAATAGGTCTAATTTTCAGTCAGAAATGGAGAGGAAAGTAAAGGACAGTTTGCCAGTATTCTAATTTTAATCTGCACTTGTGTTGGAGCGAGGCTAAAGCTAATGCTTGCTCATCTCAGCATTGTATTTCTCAGGTTCCTTTAACACTTCTTCAAGGGGTCTAGGCACTGAATATGCTTAAATGTAGTTATCAGTTTTTTAAAAATAAGTTTGTTTCTTATCATTTGAAAATGTTATATATCTCTTACACTGTACATTGAGGGGGGAAATGTTTTTTTTGCCAGCAGAGTTAAATGATTGCTGGAACTTGTTTTTCAAGATACAATTTAATTCTTGTGGCAAACTTGTGGTAGAAAGCTGCATTAGGGCTTATTATAGTGGAGAAGGATATTGGTTTGTCAGTTTGCGTTGAAAATATAATAGGGAATTCAAATACATAGATCAACGATGAACAACAATGTTCATTTTGGTCATTCAGCAAGGTTTATTATCTATGTACAACACAAATTAAGCTTTAGTTTAGCTTCCACTGACAAATGAAAGATATGCTGCAAGTTTTGAAATAAGCTGAACTTTGGATAATGCCATTTCTGTTTTTAAAATGAGTCATTTTTTTTCCAGAGTTCTGTAATAATAATAAAAATAACACAAAAGGGTTAAACATGTTTACAAAAATGCATTGCTGTTATTGCACACTTAAGTAAATTCCATAGGAATCTGATCAAAAGGTACATTATTTTTTTTAGGAATTGGTTCAATTATTATTATTATGTTTTAGGATATTTGAGTTGAAGCTAAACCACAATCCCGGTGATTAATGGAAGTATGACAAAATTTTTGTGTGTATTTCCAATGCGATAAATGTTTTTTGTTTATTGTATGTTGTAAATGTGCTATTATTTTTCCCCCCAGGCTGCCATAAGGTTATATAACAGAGAAGGTTTCTCGCTGTTCAATTTGGAGTATTATTACAACTTTTCATTCATGGTGATTGAGAGTTGATTGACTTGTGTCTAGTCTGAGCTGTCTGCCGGTGCCACAATTACTCTAATTTTATTTCAGGTGTTGTTGGGAAGTCTGAGGGTATGTCCCATCAGGCTTTATTATATCACTTTTTTTCTTTTTTGTTTATGTTAGATATCATTATGTTAACATTTTGTTCCCATTTAAGTAAATTGGGAATGGAAGGCATTTTCCTGAGGTCAAGAAATCTGAGGATAAATCTGTATGAAATGTATTTTGAAAGACAGATTTTCAATAAGAATTCATTAATAAATTTTTTGATGATTTTCCATTATGTTTTTTCTTCTCTTTTCATTCTTATGAGTTAACCCACTGTTTATTTTCTTTTTTTTTACTCTTTTTTTCCTTTTTTTAAATAGTGACTCATACATATTCTAGCTCCAACTTTTCCTTTTTCATGGAAAATTGAATAAAAAATGCGAGATGCATGTTCAGCAATGTAAAGCTTGAGAATTGTTATAATTATTATTATTTTTAGACTGAGGGAAGCTAACAGAAGTGAATGAGAGATAGAAAAAAAGTATAACTTTTCATGGTTGTCATTTGTAATTTATTATATCACACCTGAGTCAATTACAGATGATATTTTCATAAAGATAGGTAGCATTTCTGCAGTGACTAACATTTTTGCAAGAAAAGAAAATTCCTTCCTGAAGAAAAGTTGAAAATCAACACTAAGTCTGTGTGCGCATGAACATGTATCTGTATGTGTGTGCATTTTTTTTTTTTTTCTGGATATCAATACATCTATGTGTTTGTATTTGCACAAAAAACAAACACACACACACACACACACAACACACACACACACACACACACACACACACACACACACACACACACACACACACACACACACACACACACACACACACACACATGCGCACACGCACACGCACACATGCACACACACACACACACACACACACATATTTATAATTTATATATATATCTTTGTATATGTATTTATCCATCTATATCTATCTGTCAATCTATATGTCTATCTATCTATCTTATTAGTTCTTATTGGATATTAGCTTAATTTTTTTTTTATCATCTATTTAGGGGATCAAAGAAAGGAATAAAAACAGAATACTCATTTTAGTAATAACACGTCTTTCAATAAATTTGTATTTTAAGAAAGATAGTATATATAGCATTGAACTGTATATGTATACATATATGAAATATTTATACACTCAAGTGCATGTAATAAACAGCTGTGTACCAGAAAATCAGAAAAGTTTGTAGCAGTAATTTCACATTATTTGCAATAACCACTTTCTTGGTTATATTTTCTTGTGTTCTGGCTTGGATGTTCATTAAACTGAAAATATGTACGCAAAATTATGTTTGTGTGTACATGTATACAGTATATATATGTGTGTATATGTATATGTATATATGTATACATATATATATTATGTATATACATACATACATACATACATATATATATGTTTGCATTGAGTGATTTCATTAGAAATATGCAGATTGAAGTTACAAAGGAAGAAGAAAAATATTTTTAGACAATTCTGCTGTTGCCACACATTTTCTCAAGCCAAAGCAATAGTTTGTTTAAAAGGCTTTCACGAAATATACTGTAGAGTGATATTAAAGTGCAAGTGAAAAAGTAATAAGTTAAACAAATATATGGGACGGTAGAGTGTTGGAATGTTTTGAGAAATCCTGGGACTTTCATTTAATTCTTGAATATATTTAAGAATTACTGTAGAAATATCTAAATGGATTTCAAAGTGGACTTTCATAACCTACAAAAATATTATGTAGCAGCAAATTCAGCAAAACATTGTGGATAATACTGCATTTAATTTAATATTCCTCATCTGATATTTAATTCACATATTTGTACAGTGGGAAAATTGTGATGCTGTTGCAAAGTATTTTCATTAATTATCGTTGGTCTTGTCAGACCCCTTCATGATTTATATGTGCTTAGATAAATAATGAATACATACATATGGGTTTTGTTTTTCATTTTTACCCCCATATTTTTTTCACAAAAGTTATATTGAAATGCAGAAGTCCTCATCAGTTTCCCATTTGAAAGGCTTTCTGAAAAACTCTGATCTGCTTTATCAGTAAATAGTATTGACCAACATCAATATCTCATCAGTATCTATTATGAATGGCTAATGTTAATAGTCTTTGTCAGAAGCTTTTATCAGTCTTATCAAAAGTTATTACAAGAAGCCCCTATCTAGAGTTTTGGTCAGCACTATCTGAGAATCATATCAGAATCAATTAGCTGAATTGAAAAAAAAAACAATTGCTGAATGCAAAGAGACATGTAAAACATTCACAAAACTCGCTCAGTTCATTGAGATTTGGGAAGTCTAGCTTTACAAAGGCCTTTACCTGTGTGCCTCAGCTTGTGGCAACTATTAATAGCTTTCTCAATCTATTAATTTTCACTGAATGCTTACTGCAGTTGCTGGCTTGCCAGGCGGCCCGTGCCTCAGAAGTTGTATGTGCTCACAACTCTGTAAATAGTGTTATAGGATGGCATTCGGCTTGCTGCAATGTTTGCAGTACCTGGTGACATCAACAGTTGTCTCTATAATTTGCAGCCTAGTCTTATTCTCTGTAATATGACCTGCACCTCCACTGATTGTTTCAGAGAGTGCTAGTGGCTCACAGCCTGTGGTGTCTGAGTACCATCTGGCCGAGGAGGATTTCGTTTTCTCTCTGTGTAGCTACAGTAAAGTGGCTATCCCTGTGTCGTTGGACCTGTGCCTTAAATTTTTCGGCTTAGGTATAGGATCATGGGATTTGGGGGCATACCCCTGCCATTTTTGGCTAGTCTCTTAGCAGGCTCATTCCCTCTGATGCGTATGTGCCTGGGGACCCTGTTTATGATGATTCTTCTACCATGAGCAATAATCATGTGGGCAATAGTAAACACTGGAGTCAGGAGGTAGATGTTGTTGGGCATGCTGTGCTGTAGACTGTCAATGGCTGCCTAGAATCTGTTGTATAACCATGTCCTTCCCTCTGGGACACGTGGTCTAGGGTGAGGAGCGAGGAAGCATTGCCTGTTACCCTTATGGGTTTTGTGGCAACAGCATAGATTATGAGATCTACTGATCCATCTTTGAAGTAGGTTCTATTACCTGGATGGCTACAACGAGCCTTTTGGCTTGTGCTTTCAGTCTAGGCATAGGGTACTGATTCTTTTGCCTAGACAAATTCATAGCTGAGAACCCAATTAAGCTGTGTGCCCATGGTGAGGTTTCAAAATAGTCATGGTAGGGGGAATCCATGCCATTAGCAAGTAGTTGCTCTTTGAGCTGATAGCCTATCAACACCCTGGCTGTATCTTAAAGCCAGTAGTTGTTTGTAAAGAGCTCATAGTTTTGCTCTAGGTGTCTGAATACTTTTATCTCCTGTCAGTTTGGGGGTGCCTGGGTGGCATTGAGAAGGAACTGTACAGCCATGAGGTAAAGTCCACATGCAATAGGCTTGCCTCCATGAGGAGGTTCAGGGCCTTTGTCTACCTGGGGGCACCCAGAATAATCCTGGCAGCTTCATTTTGGACTGTCTCCAGTTTTTCTCTAAGTTTTGGCTTGTTAGCTATGAGGGCGACAGGAGCATAGTCTACAATGGGACAGGCAGCAAGTACATAGAATGAACTTAGTACTTTGTTCATGTGTGCTGCGTGTAGTAATGTTGCTGACCTGTGCGGCAACTCCGGCCATTCTGTGGACACAGGGTAATTTAGAAGTAAATAAACAGACAACATGTCAACAGCAAAGAATTTCCATTGTAAGAAATTGGATAAAAAATAGACTATGATATCTAATTAATCATTAACTGATTGTGTCCTGCTCCCGTGTGTCTCCTGGTCACTGCTTCCATGACAGACAGTCTTGCCTTAGTTCGGTTAACCAGGTAATGAATCTTTTGAAAGGAGTTTCTCACCCGATAACAGTTCTCACACTGCCTGGGGCAGTGTGAGAACTGTTTTTGTAGTTTTTTCTTAGTTCCCTTAGAAAGAAAATAGCATCCGAGTTATCAAGCATGGCTGTCCTGCCTCTGATAAGAGGAAGTCTGCCTGGTTGCAGGTATTCTTGATTTGCCTTCAAACCAGCTGGAAGACTGTTGCTACTTGTTCTCACAGAGAACTTGAGCACAAGCCTGTATGCCTCTGATTGAGGGCCATGTTGTGTGCATCTTGGGGCTGAGCTGTTGGTGGCTCGCCTGGCCCATTTCAACAGCCGTGAGAGGGTGGTCTGGTGGCCAAAGCACTCACGCCATTCCAGCCACTTCTCCTGTCTGACTCTCTTGGCAGTTTCCTTGGAATCCCTGACAACTTTCCTTAGAAAGGCTAGGTTATCAGTTATTTGATCTCCCCAAAGCTGGTGCTACTGCAGTGACTACAGCAGTCAACAGGAGACATGTCACTCTCGTCAAAGAGAAGATGGTCGTCTCTTAGAGAAGAACTTGCAGTGTTCTTTGAACCTTTTTACCCCTGGTTCTCTTTTTGGCACACTTGCAAGTGACAGAAACTCCTAGTTGGAGGTGTCTGGTGTCGGCTGGGGAGGTCCTTTCATCTTAGGAAGTGGGTGAGTCCTTCCCCATTGTTCTGTCCCCAGACATGGGTGCCTTGGGGAACAGAAACAAAGTTTGATAATTTTTTAGCAAACTCTTGTCGCCTGAAGGACTGAGCAAGCCAGTCTCCAGGCATGATGCGTACTCGTGCACGGCATTGTTCAACCTCTAGGACTCTAGTCTCTACAGGGCACTATGATGCCACACTTGGTAAACACTTGGACTGATGAACCAATCCTTGCGGAAAGACCAGAGGCGTTGCAATCCCACCTACAGGATAAGCATCATTGGTAGGAACCATTTAGGCATCCTAACGGGAGCCAGTCAGTAGGAGAGGCCACCTCAATGGGAGGGAGAGGGGGTATCCCACAGGCTGGCTCACCTGAAAGAGGGAGCTCAAGGTCCTGTAACTGAAAAAGGGGTTCGTTGACATCTTACTTAGGGCGACTATCTTCTGGAGAGCCATCTAATAGGCGGGCTCTTCAGTATGGTAATTTTGATGACATGTCTCGCGGTTCATGTCATAGCGTGGGTGGATTATGGCAGCCATGTGAAGTCTAGCAGGTGACATGACTAAACATGGTAAAGGTGGCTAAGGGCGTTGAGAAGGGTGGGGTGGAGTTCTTACCTGCCTATTTATTTCTATTGGAAAGAAATCTCGAGTTACGGTCATAAAATAGTCTGCCAGACCAGTCCTGA